CCTACAACTCCCAGAATACTCCAGCCTGCATGACCACTAGCCATGCGAGATGGGGGAGCTGTAGTGCAAATGGATAATTTTTCGAAGCTCTGCTGATGGGCAGGAATTTGCAAACCAATAGCCATGGGTAGCCAATTCCATGTGTGCTCAGAGGGTGCATTTTCAAAAAAATGACAACAAATCCAGCAACAATTGAATGTTGCTGTTGCAGGAAGCACTCAGGAGCAGCCTGGGCTCCCCCAGGTTTGAGCAGAGAACACCTTCCTGATAATTTTGACTTCTTTTGAATGCCTTTGCCTACCCACAATGCCAGGCCTCAGCTGCAAAAGATCTCCTGACTCATGTTCCCCCTCTCTATTAGGTACGTGCCACAGCAAAAACAGACCACTGCAAACTGTGACACCATCTCCCAAGGGGGACACTGTGCTAAAACAGCAAGATGTCTTTTTTTTAATAATATTTATTCAAGAAACACAAAACAAATACATAATATCTTACAACAAACATTCATAAAAGAATCCTCCATTCCAACCATATCCCATTATATCATTCCTATTATATCCTTCCTTCTGTCTTAAACTTATCTACTATTGTAGTCTTCTAAATCCCATTTAAATCTAAGATCTAATATCTTAGTCTTCTAATCGAAATCACATCTAAGATACTACTCAGACTTTCATATTCCTTTTAACATATTCCTCCAGCTTTAACCCACTATTTCTCCTTAACCCTCTTACCCTCTTTCCAACTTCTTTCATATTTCATACCTTTTCCATATACCTTCTACTCTCCCTTTCTTTCCCCCTTCTCCTGCTCATCCTTTCTTTGAACAGCAAGATGTCTTTAAACATCCACTCTGTGATCCAAGTCCCTCCGTATACTTCCACCCTCTCAGGAGTTGCTGGACCTGAGTTGGCCTTTTAGGTAGTCCCAGCATTGAGGTGGTGAAACTTGGCAGGAGCTCTTGTGCTCTTAGTTAATGTGGTGCCATTGAAAAAACGTGATCCTCCTTCCTCCTGGTGTTCTAGCAACAGCAATAGAATGGGCTCTGCTACCTTTGGCATGTGAAAGAAGGACAGTATTACTTTATGTTCCCCTGAAACAGTTCTGAGCAGAGAAGACAAGATAGGAAAAAAGACCTCGGATGTCTCTTGTCATAGTTCTAACAGCCAAGCAGTCGTAGGGGAAAAACACCTCTCTTGCATTGCTGCTTTGAGATACTAAGTTTTCAGCTCTTTGGTTTTCATTTATTTTTGAATATCTGTATCCCCCCACTTTAAATAAATAAACACACACACACACACCTATGCTGTTCCTTGAGATCTAATTTTTATTCTCAGACCAATTGTACTGGTTTATATGGAATTATTTCTAATAATAAAAAGTTACAAAACTGATGAATAAATCCTTGTATGTACTTTTTATATTATATCCTTTTGGGGAAAGGGATGGGAAAAGCAGCATCATGCACAGTGCCTTATTCTGCCGAAATGTTTCACATACCAGAGGAACAGCTCTGTGGATTTCTAAAGCTTTCACATATTCTCCACCCAAAGCTGGATAGGGTCTTTGCTTTCATCTGCTTCTAAACAGTGATTATCAGCAGCCAAATTGCATTCAGCTAATCAAAGCTGCATTCTGCTAAATAGTTATAGATGTTTCAGTGAAGCATATGCTTGGTGTATACTGCTGACACACTTCTTGACTTCATGCAGCATTGGAAGGCATGTGTCTCCCTTCTTCCACAAGAGGAAACCCTGATAGAAGAAATTTCTGGGTGAGAAAAGTGCTCAGACAAGCTGAAGTGGATGGGACTGCAGTGCCAGGATCTCTCACCGTTGGCTTGGCTTGGCTTGTTGGAACTGATGGGACTTGCAGTGAAACAACTGCACACATCGGCCACCCCTGAAGTTCTGAAAACATGCAGAAAATTATTTTCTC